ACCCCTCCAACCACAGGTGCCAACGAGTTGGCAAAAGCATCAATGGGAATTGATATGGAGGAAGGAGGTAATAAAAGTATGTGTTAGTGGGAGAAAGAAATTGGGAAAATAATCAGGGAAAGATTAGGGCCTCAAAATAACAATACACTTAGGGTATATTACAATAACAGTGGAAGTCTAAGAAACAAAATGAACAAATTAAATGCTCTTGTCTGTACAGAAAAAAATAGATATTATTGCACTTACCGAAACTTGGATGAATGTAAAAAATAGAGAGCTATTAGCTGAATATCAAATAAATGGATTTAAACTATTTCACACAAATATATTAGACGAGGAGGGGGGGGGGGGTAGCCATATATGTTAGGGCAATTTGAAATGTAGTCTCAAAGAGAGATTCAAAACTAAGCCACACACAGAAACTATTTGGATAGAATTAAACGAAAAAGCAAATATTCTTATAATAGGAGATATATATATATAGGCCACCAAATTTAGACAGAATGAAAGCAAAGCATTTATGGGATGAAATATCTAGAGCATCTAGGTCTAAAAGTATTTGTGTCATGGGTGACTTTAATTTTAGTGGAAAAAACTAGATTAACAGAACAGGGAATAACGAATCAGAAGAATTTATAAAATTAAAATTGACGATCGCTTTCTTATGTAGCACATTAACGAACCAACGCGGGAAAATGATTTAGTGTTAACTAACAGGGAAATACATATTAATGACATCGAAATTGGGAGTGAACTAGGGAACAGTGATCATAAAGAAATCAGTTTTAGCATTGAGTGGTATAGATCTGCAGGAGAAAATTATGTTAAAAAGCCAGATTTTCGAAAAGCTAATTTCAATGTCCTAAAATTTTTTTGAAGCATATAGATTCGAAAGCCTTGGGCATAGGGGTGGGGGGTGGTCTTGGAGCACGACGTAAACCCAGCGATATGTGATGTAAATGTAGATTTCGATTTGGATTCAAAATATAACTTATTAACAAATATTCTAAGCAAAGCACAGGAAATTTGCGATCTTTTTATTCCAGCATAGTTCATGTGGTGGAATATGAAGAATCATATTAGATTCAGGTTTGAACATAAAAATAAAGGTAACTGCAGAAGGCCTATTGGCCCATACGAGGCAGCTCCTATCTCTAATACCCAATCTCACTCATATACTTGTCCAACCCGCGCTTGAAACAATCAAGGGACCCCACCCCACAATGTTATGCGGCAATTGGTTCCACAAATCAACAACCCTGTTACTGAACCAGTATTTCCCCAAGTCTTTCCTAAATCTAAACTTATCCAATTTATACCCATTGTTTCGTGTTCTGTCTTGTGTTGATACTTTTAATACCCTATTAATATCCCTTTGTTATGTCCATTCATCCACTTGTAAACCTCTATCATGTCACCCCTAACTCTTCGCCTTTCCAGTGAATGCAACTTAAGCTTTGTTAATCTTTCTTCATCTGAAAGATTTCTAATTTGGGGAATTAACTTAGTCATCCTACGCTGGACACGTTCAAGTGAATTTATATCCATTCTATAGTACGGCGACCAAAACTGAACTGCATAATCTAAATGGGGCCTAACTAGAGCAAGATATAGATTGAGAACCACACCAGGTGTCGTGTTACTAACGCTGCGATTAATATATCCGAGTGTCCGATTTGCCTTATTACGAACATTCATGCATTGATCGTTTTGTTTTAAATTCTTACTAATCATAACTCCCAGATCCCTTTCGCAATCCGACTTCGCAATCTCAACACCATCTAGCTCGTATCTTGTAACTCTATCATCATTACCTAACCTCAGAACTTTAAATTTTTCAGCATTAAACTGCATCTGCCAATCCTTTGACCATTTCAAAACCCTATCTAGATCAACTTGAAGTGATAGTGAGTCCTAGCATATAACATATAACTTATTTAAAAATATTCTAAGCGAACATAAGAACATAAACCACTCCAACCATAGGTTCCAACGAGTTGGCAACAGCATCAACCCCTTTCATTTATTTTTTATCTTTCCTCTTTCCTTCCACTTATTTTTACCTTTCCTCTTATTCTTATTTTCCTCTTATTCTTACCTTCCTCCTATTCTCACCATCCTTATTCTTATTTTTTGTTATTACCTTTCATCTTCCTTTTATCTGTTTTCTCTTGCCTACTCCTCTCACCTCTCACCTCACATGGCTCTTATATATGTCCAGGACTGACTGTCATCGAATGTGCTGTTTGACTATTATATTCAGCCACGTTATTGTGCCTCATCTTCTGCACACACAGTCTTGTGAAGCGGTTGATCCTGGTGCTCATACTTCCGTTATACACTAGTCTTTATAAGACAATTTGTGAGTATATTACAGCGATCAACGTGATGTCTTGCGTTTTACTGAACTCTGCTCGCCTTGATCAACTGACGTCCCAGATGGAATACATCGGTAAGGGCGCTGATGGGGTTGTGGGGCGTGTTCCCTGGTGCGGCGGACATGCCATCTTGAAGACGATGAGGCATGCCTTCTCGAGGACCTTCGAAACAGAGCTGTTTGTCTTGAAAAGATTAGATGGTGCTGGAGGAGCTCCCAAGGTCCTGGGAGTGTGCTACGACCCAAAAGCCATTGTGATGTCTTCCCGGGGCGAGATAAGGCTCTCAGAAGTCCTCTGGAGTCCTACCGGACTGAATGCCCTACCGGACTGGTACCTGGTCTATATTGTTTTGAAGGTTGGTCAGCGCCTGCGCGAGGTCCACAAGAGGGGAGTTATACATGGTGACCTTCACACCTCTAATGTCATGGTCACCCTTTCTCCTGACTTCTGTAAGCCACCTCAAGTATTCCTGATTGACTTCGGAAAGTCGACTTTGAGCCCAAAGACGATGTGTATCACAGATGATGTGTATCACATCATCTGTGTATCACCCACATCCCTGGCGGATGTGGGTGATGCACATATGATAAAGAACCTGGATGTGGATGTGAAGAAGCTGGGGAGAATGGTTTTATACATCTTTGAACAAATGAAGACGAAACGCGCGTCTGTAAGAAGTGTGATTGAAATGGCATTGCCACGTAAGGGAGAGCCAGCTGCCCTTGACGACATTCTCCATCAGCTAAACTTAGTACTTTCTGACGACTTCAATATTAACCTCCCCGGTGCCTCTCAGCCCTGCCCGGATGGTGTCCCCTCAGCCCTGCCCGGATGGTGTCCTCTCAGCCTTGGCCGGATGGTGTCCCCTCAACCCTGCCCGGATGGTGTCCCCTCAACCCTGCCCGGATGGTGTCCCCTCAACCCTGCCCGGAAGGTGACCCCTCAGCCCTGCTCGGAAGGTGACCCCTCAGCCCTGCCCGGCTTGTGCACTCTCAGCCCTGCCCGGTTTGTGCCCTCTCAGCCCTGCCCGGATGGTGTCCCCTCAGCCATACTCCAGACGGTGCCTCTGAGCCCTGCTCCAAAACGGTGCCCTGCCGCGTTTTCCTCCAAGCTTCTACTCAAGTATAAAGGTCCAGAAAGACATTCCTACACCTGAGTTATTTTATAATGTATTGTAAAATTGTTTTAGATAAATATCTTTTATCTATTTGTATTTATAATAATGTATTTATAATAATGCTTATAACTATATATTAAAAATATTATTATTAATAAAGAGAAAAACTGAGTTAAGTCATAGTGTATTACTATATTGTAAGTGGAGTGGGTTAAGAAGACCTTGGGACTTGTTTATCATAAACAAAGACATTGATGTGTTTATTATGATATAGTTTACCATAAACAAAAATATGATGGGGAATTTATTCAGAAGCCATATAAGTGCTAGAAGGCGACACAGTAATGACAACAGTTTAGTCATTGTGGTTAAATTTCTTGAGTCAACAATCACAAAAGCTATACATTAATGATTCACAACATTGTTCTACGAAGCTATACATTGATGATTCAAATAAATTGTCCTACAAAGCTATACATTGATGATTCAGAATATGGTCATACAAAGCTATACAGTGATGATTCACAACATGGTCCTACAAAGCTATACATTGATGATTCGCAACATGGTCCTACACATGGATTCACAACATTGTGCTACGAAGCTATACATTGATGATTTACAAGATTGTTCTACAAAGCTATACATTGATGATTCAGAATATGGGCATACACAATTGATGATTCACAACATGGTCCTGCAACGCTATACATTGATGATTCACAACATTGTCCTACGAAGCTCTTCATTGATGATTCACAACATGGTCCTACGAAGCTATACATTGATGATTCACAACATTGTCCTATAAAGATACACATTGATGATTCACAACATGGTCCTACAAAGCTATACATTGATGATTCACAACATGGTCCTACAAAACTGTACATTGATGATTCACAACATGGTCCTACAAAGCTGTACATTGATGACTCACAACATGGTCTTACAGAGCTATACATTGATGATTCACAACATGGTCGTACAAAGCGTTGCTCATGTTTCACAATTTTTTTTATAATTTTATTCCAGCCTAAAATTGCCGATGAAAGTGAATAGGTTAGTAACGTTGTGAACCTTGCTTTTTAATCTCTTTAACTTTAGCAAAGTTTTTAATAGAAAGGAAAGGAAAATAAAAACTGTAAAAATGAAACGTATCAGGTAGAGGAAAGGTTAGAAGCAATGGAATGAATTTGTTTGAAAAAAGACAGGAAAACTGTAAGAAGATAAAATAATGCAGTAAAAGAGACAGGGCAAAGCTAAGGCGGATGATATTCGTGAAGAAAGTTAGGGTCAGAAGTATAGCACCAAAGCCTGGACTAAAGATCATTTTGGGTATTAGGGCCGATTCAACATGACAGCGTCTGTGAGGTTTTATAGGCAGAATGGATTATTCTAAAACACCAATCTACTGGAAGATTAGACTAAAGATAGGGGGAACAGATTAAGGGTTTGCTATCCGGGAGCAGGAATTGGTGATATTTTTACCAACATGAATGATATTATGGCTGGAAATTGGAACAAACTCATTATTTGTATATTCAAACTCATTTGTATTGTGGAAATGATGTAGGACGAGTTAGGAGTGAGGATCTGATAGAGAGGTTTAAGACGGCCTTAGAATTAGTTAGGAGCAAGGAATCCCGATCATATGCGGCATTCTTCCAAGAAAGGGAGTTGGAAATGAATGGTTGTCGAGCGCACTTGGTTTCATTTGCCGACTGGACAAATATTGTAAATCAAATCCAATATCATTCATTGATAACTGGGAACACTTCTATGGCAGAAATGACATGTATGCTCGGGATGGGGTGCATTTACTTTGGTTGGCGTGCTTTTTTGGGGTTTAAACTGTTAATAGAATGGGAACTGATATGCAGAAAGGAGGTAATAAAATTATGTATTAAATGGGGGAAAAAATGGCAAAATGAACAGGTAAGGAGAAGGGCCTCATAATACTAATACACTTAAGATATATTACAAGAATAGTAGGAGCCTAGAAAAGATAATAAATGCTTTAAATGCTCTTGTATGCACATAAAATAATTTATATTATTGCAGTTACCAAAACGTGGATGAATGTAGAAAGTAGAGAACTATTAGCTGAATATCAAAGAAATAGATTTAAACTATTTCACACAGAAAGATATATTAGACGAGGAGGAGTAGCCATATACGTAGGGAAAAATTGAAATGCAGTCTCAAAGAGGGAATCAAAACTGAGTCACACACAGAAACTGTTTGGATAGTATTAAACGAAAAAGCAAATAGCCTTATAATATGAGAGTCACCAAACTTTGACAAAATGGAAGCAAAGCACCTATGGGATGAAATATCTAGAGCATCTAGGTCTAACAGTATTTATGTCATGGGTAGTTTAATTTGAGTGGAATAAACTGGCTTAACAGAAAAGGGAATAATGAAACAGAAAATTTTCTCGAATTAATTGACGATTGCTTTCTTACGCAACTCGTTAAGGAACCAATGCAGGAAAATAATATTTTAGATTTAGTGTTAACTAACAGGGAAACACAATTAATGTCATCGAAATAGGGAGTGAGCTAGGGAACAGTGATCATGAAGAAATCAGATTTAGCATAGAATGGAATAGATTTGTAGGAAAAAATTCTGTTAAAGTGAGAGATTTTCGAAAAGCTGATTTTAATAGCCTCAGAATTTGTTTTGGGTCAAATAGATTGGAAAGTCTTGGGCATAGGGGGAGGGGGGGCATTGGAGCGAGATGTGGACACAGCGATAGGTGATGTAAAAAGGGATTTCGATATGGATTCAAAATATAACTTAAGTTCCTCTTTAGTAAATATAGAGATAAAATATTTATTAAAAATACTACTCATCTCTTTGTCATTATCTGTTATCTGACCGGTCTCAGTTTTAATGGACCTATCCTTTCACTAATCTTTGTTCGATATAAATGGAAAGTCCCTTTAGGATTTGTCTTTGGTTTCCCTGCTACGCAAACTTCATAGTTTCTTTTTGCCCTCCGTATCTCTTTTTAAACATTTCTAACCAGTTGTACAAATTCATGTTATAAACTGATTTCCCCAGTCTTAAACCTTTCGTACCACGCTCTCTTTCTATCAATAAGATTCTTTAGATCCTTTGCTATTCAATTTGGGTCATTAGTTTTCGATCTATTCAATTTGTACGGAACACATTACATATATTCTTGCGCTTTGCTTTGAATATTTGTAAATTTAAATAAGTTATATTTTGAAACCACATCGAAATCCCTTTTTACGTCACCTATCGCTGGGTCCGCGTCTCACTCCAAGACGGCCACCCCTACCTTCCCTCCCCCCCCCCCCGCCATGCTCAAGACTTTCCAATCTATTTGATTGGAAATATTTGACCAAAAAAATTTCTTAGGCTATTAAAATCAGCATCTCGAAAATCTGGCACTTTAACAGAATTTTCTCCTACAGAAACCTTTTACTCAAGTATGATCTAGAAAGACCTTCCCACACCTGAGTTATTTTATAATGAATTGTAAAATTGTTTTAACCTGTTTGTAATAATGTTTATGGATAATGAAACTATTATTTTTAATAAAGGCCAATATGCATTGTGCAGTTACCGTTATTCTTATGTTCTAATATTCTTATTTGATATTCAGCTAATAGTTCTCTGTTTTCTACATTCGTCCACGTTTTGGTAAGTGCAATAATAGTTTATAGTTTAAAAAGTGTATTTTTTCTGTGCAGACAGGAGCATTTATATAGTTTATTTTGTCTCTTAGACTCCTACTTTTCGTGTAATATACCTTAAGTGAATTGTTATTTTGAGGCCCCACTCCTTCCCTCTCCATTTTACCAAAATATTTCTCCCACAAACACATACTTTTATTACCCCCTTTCTCCATATCAATTCCTAAAATCTACTAACAGTTTAAACCCAAACAAACCCCTCCAACCACAGGTGCCAACGAGTTGGCAAAAGCATCAATGGGAATTGATATGGAGGAAGGTGGTAATAAAAGTATGTGTTAGTGGGAGAAAGAAATTGGGAAAATAATCAGGGAAAGATTAAGGCCTCAAAATAACAATACACTTAGGATATATTACAATAACAGTAGAAGTCTAAGAAACAAAATGAACGAATTAAATGCTCTTGTCTGTACGGAAAAAATAGATATTATTGCACTTACCGAAACTTGGATGAATGTAAAAAATAGAGAGCTATTAGCTGAATATCAAATAAATGGATTTAAACTATTTCACACAAATATATTAGACGAGGAGGGGGAGTAGCCATATATGTTAGGGCAATTTGAAATGTAGTCTCAAAGAGAGATTCAAAACTAAGCCACACACAGAAACTATTTGGATAGAATTAAACGAAAAAGCAAATATTCTTATAATAGGAGATATATATATAGGCCACCAAATTTAGACAGAATGAAAGCAAAGCATTTATGGGATGAAATATCTAGAGCATCTAGGTCTAAAAGTATTTGTGTCATGGGTGACTTTAATTTTAGTGGAAAAAACTGGATTAACAGAACAGGGAATAACGAATCAGAAGAATTTACAGAATTAAAATTGACGATCGCTTTCTTATGCAGCACATTAACGAACCAACGCGGGAAAATGATTTAGTGTTAACTAACAGGGAAATACATATTAATGACATCGAAATTGGGAGTGAACTAGGAAACAGTGATCATAAAGAAATCAGTTTTAGCATTGAGTGGTATAGATCTGCAGGAGAAAATTATGTTAAAAAGCCAGATTTTCGAAAAGCTAATTTCAATATCCTAAGAATTTTTTGAAACATATAGATTCGAAAGTCTTGGGCATAGGGGTGGGGGGTGGTCTTGGAGCAAGACGTAAACCCAGCGATATGTGATGTAAATGTAGATTTCGATTTGGATTCAAAATATAACTTATTAACAAATATTCTAAGCAAAGCACAGGAAATTTGCGATCTTTTTATTCCAGCATAGTTCATATGGTGGAATATGAAGATTCATATTAGATTCCGGTTTGAACATAAGAATAAAGGTAACTGCAGAAGGCCTATTGGCCCATATGAGGCAGCTCCTATCTCTAATACCCAATCTCACTCATATACTTGTCCAACCCGGGCTTGAAACAATCAAGGGACCCCAGCTCTACAATGTTATGCGGCAATTGGTTCCACAAATCAACAACCCTGTTACTGAACCAGTATTTCCCCAAGTCTTTCCTAAATCTAAACTTATCCAATTTACCCATTGCTTCGTGTTCTGTCTTGTGTTGATACTTTTAATACCCTATTAATATCCCTTTGTTATGTCCATTCATCCACTTGTAAACCTCTATCATGCCACTCGTAAACCTCTATCATGTCACCCCTAACTCTTCGCCTTTCCAGTGAATGCAACTTAAGCTTTGTTAATCTTTCTTCATCTGAAAGATTTATAATTTGGGGAATTAACTTAGTCATCTTAGGGAATTAAGTTAGTCAGAAAGTAAAGGAAGTACCTCAGAAAGTAAAGGAAGTACAAGCAAACATTAGTTGTGGGAGATTCCCAGATAAGGTATTTGGATAGAACGTTTTGTGCTAGAGATAGGGGGAACAGGTTAAGGGTTTGCTATCCCGGAGCTGGCATTGGTGATATTATAAACAACATGAATGATATTATGGCTGGTAATGGGAACAATCCCATTATTTGCATTAGCGTGGGAGGAAATGATGTTGGTCGAGTTAGGAGTGAGGAACTGATTCAGAGGTATAAAACAGCCATAGAGTTAGTTAGGAGCAAGGGAGGAATCCCGATCATATGTGGCATTCTTCCAAGAAAGGGAGTGGGAAATGAATGGATATCGAGGGCACTTGGTGTCAATTGCTGGCTGGAAAGATATTGCAAATCAAATGCAATATCTTTCATAGACAACTGGGAACACTTCTATGGAAGAAATGAAATGTATGCTCGTGATGGGGTGCATCTATCGAGAGCTGGGGTTGTTGCTGTTGCGAACTCGTTAGAAGAAGTGGTTAGAGGTGTTTGTTTGGGTTTAAACTGTTAGTAGATAGAGGTATGGGAATTGATTTGGAGGAAGGAGGTAATAAAAGTATGTGTTTGTGGGAGAAAGGAATTGGCAAAACGATCAGGGAAAGAGAAGGTCCGCAAAATAACAATTCACTTAGGGTATATTACACTAAGAACATAAGAACATAAGAACAAAGGTAACTGCAGAAGGCCTATTGGCCCATACGAGGCAGCTCCTATTCTATAACCACCCAATCCCACTCATATACTTGTCCAACCCGTGCTTGAAACAATCGAGGGACCCCACCTCCACAATGTTACGCG